ACAGCTATGGCAAGTTGAAGGAGTTGAATATGAGCTTCAATTCTTCCGCCCTCTTCTGTCGTACTTCATATTCTTACGTCTGGTGCAGCAATGGCGAATCCATGGTGACTCTCAGTACTTCAGATGCCCTCTCATAGTATTAATGACCAAAAAAGAAAAACAATTACAGCCACATTATCAGCCATACCAGCGCCATACGGGATAACCTATTCGTGATGAGTTAAAACCCAAGATTGGGTGCTTTTTCATACTTTGGGGGTTGATTGAGTGATTTGATAGTGCAGGGCTTGATTGACTCTTTTCCTATAGTACAAGGCTACGAGCCTATAGAGAGTTAGGGGCTATTTGACACTTCTTCCTTTTATTTTTTATACTCTGCAAAATTAAAGCACTAATTTCTTAATATGAAAAATAACTCCTCCCATCTCAATCATACAAGGTATTTACAGATATTTACAGATATTTAAATATATTTACAGACTTGCTCGTCTTCGTGACCGTAGGACTCAAGATATAGGAAAAGTTAAGTGTGTGAAGGATGTCGATCAAAGAGTACTAATGGAGGACGGGGAGATAAAAGAGAGGTGGAGGTCTTACTTGATACACTATTCAACAGGAACAAAACGCAAGATATCGGTGAATTGACCATACCAGATTGTATGGTAAATCGTGATTTTGTGAGAAGGGTCCAAACAACAGAAGTTAAGGAGATTCTGAGGAAGATGGGGCGGAAGAAAGCAGTGGGTCCAGATGGCATACCGATCGAGACTTGGAGAAGTTTGGGAGAGAGAAGCGTAGAGTGGTTAACAAGTTTCTTCAACATGATTTGGAGAAACAAAAAGATGCCAACAAGTTAGAGGAAGAGTACTCTTATCCCCTTATTCAAGAATAAAGGTGATGTACAAGAATGTGTCAACTATCGAGGGATTAAGCTTATGAGTCACACCATGAAACTTTGGGAGCGAGTGATTGAGCAAAGACTTCGAAGAACTGTGAAGATTTCAGAGAATCAATTCGGTTTTATGCCTGGTCGCTCAACAACTGAGGCCATTCACCTTCTCCGGCAGCTTATGGAGAAGTATAGAGACACTCACAAGGATCTGCATTTGGTGTTCATTGACTTAGAAAAGGCTTATGATAGGGTATCTCAAGAAGTTCTTTGGTGGGCCTAAACTAGAAAAGACATATCACGCAAGTATATCAGCATCATCATGGATATGTATGAGGATTGTAATACAAGTGTTCGTACTAATGTAGGGAGGACTGCGGAGTTCCCTATCACTATCGGAGTGCACCAAGGATCGGCTTTGAGCCCTTTCTTATTTGCCATAGTCATGGATGAACTTACGAAGTCAATTCAAGACGAAATACCGTGGTGCATGATGTTTGCCGACGATATTGTATTGATTGATGAGACGCAATCAGGTCTTAAAGCAAAGTTGGAAGTATGGCGACAAACATTGGAGAACAAGGGTTTCAGACTAAATCGGAGCAAGACAGAATACATGGAGTGCAAGTTTGGTGGAGGTAGAAGCAGTGGTAATAGTGGAATTACTCTAGATGGTAAGGAGATACTGGTCAGTGATATGTTCCGTTACTTGGGCTCCATAATTCAAGAGGACGGTGAGCTAGATGGAGATGTATCCCATAAAATCGGAACAAGGTGGATGAAGTGGAAGAGTGCGTCAGGATTTCTATGTGATGGAGGTATGCCGACTAGACTGAAGGGTAAATTTTATAGGATGGCAATTAGGCCTGCATTGCTGTATGGCGTAGAGTGTTGGGCGGTGAAACAATGTCATATTCAAAAGATGAGTGTGGCAGAGATGTGCATGTTGCGTTGGATGTGTGGGCATACTAGGAAGGACCACGTGCGAAATGAGACAATCAAACAAAGGGTGGGAGTAGCACCTGTTGAAGACAAGATGCGGGAGTCTCACCTACGATGGTTTGGTCATGTGCGTAGAAGACCGAGTGATGCACCTGTCAGACGTGTTGAGATGTGTGGAGAAGAGGCAGGGAAGAGAGGGAGAGGAAGACTCAAATAGACGTGGGTTAGGGGAGTCCGAAGTGATATGCTTTTTCTAGGGTTGGATGAGGGTATGGCTTTAGAGAGAGCAAAGCGGAGGACGGGTATTCGTGTGGAGGAGTGATCTCGTATTATGTTTTCCCTCATCTTTTTTTCTTCTTTTTTTTATTTTATTTTATTTTATCCTTATATATATAAACATTATTTTTATCCTTTTTATTTTATATTTTTATAATAGCTTATTTTTTATCTTTATTTTCTTTCTTTTCCTTTTGGTGGTGATATCATGTATCGATTCATGTTAGCCGACCCCAATATCTTTTGGACTAAGGCTTGGATGTTGTTGTCGTTGTTATCTCAATCATACAAGGTTGCAAAAATTGTTCCAAAACAGTAACACGTATCCTTCTCAATATATGGCTTGGAGGGCTTAAAGATAGGGCTTGGGGCCTTGGAGGGCTTAAAGATCCCATCTTTTCCATAAAATCTGTAACACCAAAATAAACCCAAAACCCCAAATTTTTCCAAACATAAATTAGATAGAAATATACACCTATGAGGTAGGGCTTGGCAGAGAAACAACTAATTTGGTTGATACGGCTTCAATTAGTCGTTTAAGAAACACCTCTGGTTGCAATTCTTTGATCAAGAAGTGGAATATACACAATAAATCGAACTTTAAGTATAAAAAAAAAAACCGAACCCTCGAAATTATCGAGGGGGAGGGATACAAATCAAAGAAAGTCCAACATGAAGCATAACAAAAATCGTGAGAGCATATACAAAACAAACATTGCAAGATAACATACGTACGTACAATCATCAAAGACTGGGAGAGAGCAGACCTGGGAGAGAGGAAGGCAGAGTGGAAGTTAACGGTTGTTAACGGACACGATGAGTCGATGATGATAGATGGATATTTTCAGACTTTCAGAGCGATTGGTGGAGTCGTAAGTTTATGCAGCTTTGAACCCACAAGGAAGGGGAAAGAAGAGGGTCCGAGGATGCGAATTTCGTGAGACTTCAGTCTCATGTAAAGTTGTAAACAAAAACCTCCTATATGAATTTCCTTTGATTTGAGAGATGTTTTTTAAAAGGGAAAACTATCAAATAAGCTTCTATATTATGTCAAAAAAGTCGATTATGCCCTCGTACTTTACAAACACTCAATTAAGTCCTCGAACTATTAAAAAACGTTCAATTAAGCCCTTTCGGTCAGTAAGTAACCGGTTTCTCGGTTAAATGTAACCCGTTTCCCGACAACCGCCGTTGCCGGGGTTCAAGCACATCATTGCCGTCATCGCCGTTTAACCGAGAAACCGGTTACTTACTGACCGAAAGGGCTTAATTGAACGTTTTTTAATAGTTCGAGGACTTAATTGAGTGTTTGTAAAGTACGAGGGCCTAATCGACTTTTTTGGCATAGTACGGGGGCTTATTTGATAGTTTTCCCTTTTTAAAATGAATTTTATCAATTCAGAACCTGAAAGATAAGAGGTAAGATCGAGTGATAGAAAATTATCAATGTAGGACCTAACATTTCACAGGTGTTGATTTATTTATTTATTTTTATTAATTCCATTACTAATTTTCGATAAACTTTTTCTCACAAACGTTTATTAGTTTCATAAAACTAAATAATTTTTAATTTTTTAAAAATAATAAAATTAAAAAAATTCATGACAATGTAAGTCCTAAATTGACAATTTTGAATCATTCAGGTCCTAGATTGATACATTCGAGACCTAGATTAATACATTCGAGCTGGTTGGTTTGAAGGGTCAGGGATCCCTCGTCCCTCTCTTCTAACTCCATCTTTTCGAGATGGCGTTGGTGATGTCACCTCCATCTCCACCACCGGATGATTAGTTGGAGCTTGAGTTCCATGTGGTTGAGGAGGCTTTTGAGCGCTAGGAATTGCACGACGTATGTCCTTCGCAAGAGTACCTAACATCTTGGTCATCCCTAGGATGGCACCATGGACGTCAGGCACTTCTACGGGAACCACCACAGGGCGACTGGGTCGGTTACGAAGATCTTGACCCGATGAGTTGGACGCAGTGTGTCCATCAGCGGTACATCCTTCTCAGCCCTGGTAGTAGCCATTGTTACCATGTCTAAAATTGTGAGTGTATCTCCGACTCTCAACGAGAGCACCAAAATGATGGAAGTAAATCCACTGGAAAATAATTAATAGATAGCCGAAAATAATTAAAGCACTCAGAATAATACTTAGAGAGATAAATGTATGTAGTGTATTCAATGTATTGAGCTTCATCGTTCTTACAAGAGTTACATAAATTTATAATACAAAATTGTGATTTGTATTCGGGCGACATAGTCACCGTGCCTGAATTGACGCGCCACTATCCCGTGATTTGTGGGACGGATCGCGAGTTGATCTGTGATCTTCCAGATTTGCTGTTGGTCACGTAGCTTCTTGGAAGTAGCATCATGTGCAATGGTCTAAGCGGTTGTGCACCATGCGTGTAGGGGCACGCCATGTGACGCTTAGCATGCCACATGCAAATCCCATGGTAGAGGTAAGACTGTGTCATGCTCAGCATGTCATGTCTAAGCCTCATTGTAAAGACAAGACCACGTCATGCCCAGCGCGCCATATCTTTGTAACTGTGACTCCATGATTCTCATCTCAAGTATGTTGACCATGTATTTCCTTAGGCTTGATGTCCATGTTCATCTTGTCCATTTCATTTATGGGCTTAGCCCACATTCAATCGAGCTTACCATATTGGACTGATATTTATGTCATCTTTTTTCGATGGTACCAACTTACCAAATGTTAAAATTTTTATACGATAGTATGTTGGTGTAGACTGTAGACCATAATACGATAAAAACAATTTGTTCATTTATATAAACAAATTGTCCTTTGTGCACAAAAAGGGTAAACCTCACTACTATAAGCCAATCTTATTTACTCCATATAAATTAACTCCAGTTTCAAATAAACGTACTCGTAGCAAGTACTAACTACTACTCCGTAAGTAGTTGTAGCTGATTTTTGTACGCTTTGTTCACTTCCAAAACCACACTTCCGTTTCCTTTGCCAACTCTCTCAGGCGCCGTCTCTAATCCAATCGCTCTGTTTCCCCCCTCATTTTGGTTTCTCAATCTCAGGCCATCATCTTTCTCCCTGTTTTTTAAAGACTCAATTTTTCCTACTGTTTGACAACAGCTACCGCTTCAGCCGTTCCAATGCAAGCCCACTCAGTCACTTCACCCACTTCTACTCTCACGCCGGCGGCCGCCCGCCACTTTTCCGCCGCAATCCGCCGGACCAGTTTCTCCCCATGTAGGCCCCACGCAAGAAATCCCACCACATTCGCTGCCAAAGCCGCCCCAGAAACAGTCCCGCCTCCGCCCCAGCCCGGCGCCTCCTCCGTGAAGCTGAACAAGTACAGCTCGCGCATCACGGAGCCCAAGTCACAGGGCGCCTCGCAGGCCGTGCTCTATGGGGTGGGTCTCTCCGATGATGATATGGGCAAGCCCCAAGTTGGGATTTCATCCGTCTGGTACGAGGGGAACACTTGCAATATGCACTTGCTCAAGCTCGCGGAGGCTGTGAAGGAGGGTGTCACAGAGGCCGGCATGGTAGGGTTCAGGTTCAATACTATTGGGGTCAGCGATGCTATTTCAATGGGGACCAGAGGGATGTGCTATAGCCTTCAGTCAAGGGACTTGATTGCTGATAGTATTGAGACTGTCATGTCTGCTCAGTGGTACGATGGAAACATATCTATCCCTGGCTGCGACAAAAATGTGAGATTTCTGTTAATGGGTTTTTAGGCTTTCTCGATTTATTTTTGTTGGCAGTGATATATTTTGTGGGGTTTATTAAAGGTAAAGCTTTGTCTGGTTAATGATTATCTGCAATGATTTGCTAATGGTCTTGAGTCTTGACTCTTGCTTGTGGTTTGAAAATCAGGATGGAAGTTGGAATCTTTAGTTTTAGTTATTTTCCTCACAGGCGGCTGGTTTGAGAATTGAGACCAGGGGATATTCATGATTCGCCTAATGATAATATTCAATTCTTTTGCCTATTTAAGGAAGTACACGAAAATTGTGCAACTCAATAGACCCGAGAAGATGTGAGAGCTTAAAAGATGCTATGTAGATGCTTTGAAGGAAATATCTGAAGCAAATGTGCCATAAAAAGAAACAAAAGTTTTCATTTTTCTTCTTCTTATGTTGTATCCAAATGCACTTGTTTCAATTAAGAATCAGTTTTGACTCGCAAGGGTAGCTGAGTTGGTGGGGCAGTGAAGATGGTAACCAGAAGGTCCTATGTTTGAATCCCTCAAGGGATATCCAATTGGTGTATTTAGTTTAGCCTGTCAGTTTTGGTTCATCGCAGGCTGATTTACATCTGCAACCTTTGCTTGCTTAGGCCATGAAGTACGGGTGTACGTAGTGTGCACCTTAAGGTAATGGTTGCGGCTTGTGGGTCTCTGCATCATATAAAAAGAACCAAATCTGTAAGACCATGTTTGAATGACCATGTATTCAAGTTGCTTAGGGAAACTGACAAAAAATATTCAGCTTTTTATCTAAATACTACTCTGTAATTCATTGCAGAAAATGTATGATGCCCTTTTCTAATTGTCCCTAATCTTTGGTATTGTAACCTGGCAATAATAATTAACATTAAGGGTTTTAGCATCACTTCACTCAGTGTATAATTTGAAACATCCAAGATGTTAGGATGCACTGTGCTTGACTTGTTCAAATCTCAGCAATAAGATTTTTTTTCTATTATTTCTTTTTAGGAGCTTAGGTGGTTGTGTACTTCATATCTTTTTGAGAGTCATGTTATCTTGGTATGCAGAGAAGACAAAAAAGACTTCTCAGCCTCAATTCAGATTGATTAATAACACTTTTTTTAGTTTGTAGCATCATCTAGGTTCATCTTGCCTTGTTGAATAAAAGTCAGTGCTTGTAAAAATTAAGGAAATTCATGTTCTTGACCTTGTGCTGGAGCATGAATGCATAACAAAGAAATAGATCAGTGGTTACAAAAAGGCAAACATGGGAATTCCCCTGATGAAAGCAAGAAAACTATGAACTCAATCACACAAAATTTTGCATGCCTTGGTCATTTCAAAGATTTCTTTTGATTCATGCATGCGATTAATTCTTGTTCATTTTATTAGTGACTAATAGTACTTGTTATCTCATTCTGATGCTTTTTCCATTAGGCCATGACATTATGCTCTTAATTAATTATCTCATTCTTAGTCTGTTAGTACATTATTGCTTTATGTGTGTGCATTTGGGGGAGATGGGTAGTATATGTATGAGGTCTATCCCAGCAGTAAAAAGTCACCTAATTAAAAAGTCTCCTGTTTCCTCGTATCCTTTATAGTTTGTTTATTTATTTATTTATTGATACATCTATCCTTTCATAATAAATAAGTTAATACATATATGTATAGTCTTTATGCCCTCCGTAGTAGGAATCTATGATAATTTCAAATTACCGGCTTATCTCATACTATGTAATTTATTGGCATCATCATTGCAGATGCCAGGTACAATTATGGCAATGGGGCGGCTGAATAGGCCCAGCATTATGGTTTATGGTGGAACTATCAAGGTTAGATACTTAGATACTTAAATGCACCTTTATGTTCCATTTGAGAACAAGCTTTTCTTGTTCATTTTCTAAACTTCTGTTGTTGCAAGATATTATTTTAACATGACTGATAAGCGATGAGGCAGTTCCTTTTTATTTATCAAAACTCTCCTGTATCCATGAATTCATCGCATATCTAAGAATTTGAGTAATGGAAAATTGGAAAGTATTACACACTATTTATTAAAAAAGATATACAGAATATCAGTCCAGTCACATTTTCAAATGTCTTGTTGATGTGGACAAATAACTACTCTGCATGAACTGGATATCCATGCTCATGCATTCATGTGGAATTTTAAGATGAGACTAGTCAATGGATGTAGGAAATACAAGATTATTTGTTAGTGCAGAGCAGTCTTTGGAATCTTATACACTCAAGAGTTAAAGTTGCATCCGCATATCAAGTCAATGTTCTATCAATGTGCATTACGAACCTATGACATATGATCTGTATTCTTCAAGCTCAACATCTACTTTGTGTTCAAGTGGCTATATCTACTTGGCCTCATATTTTGTCTAGAACGGGAAGATCTCTATTGACATGTATTAATTTGGGACCATCATTCATGAAAGCCTCTAATGTCGGTTTGCATAGAAATGTGTTCAACAAGCAGTATATATCAAATCATATATATGTTTGCAAAGTTTATACATGTTTAAAAACTAAATCTAATCATTGATATTTTGTTCCATGTGCAGCCAGGTCATTTTCAAGGGCACAGCTTTGACATAGTCTCTGCCTTCCAGGTGCAAACATGCCTAAGATATTTCCTTTGCTTGTTTATCACCATTTTAATATTTTGTAGCGCTTCTTTTGCAGAAGTGAGTCTCTAACTCGTGATTCTTCATTATAGGTTTACGGGGAGTACGTAAGTGGTTCTGTTAGTGATGAACATAGGATGGATGTGATTCGCACTTCATGCCCTGGAGCAGGGGCCTGCGGTGGAATGTATACAGCAAATACTATGGCGTCTGCTATAGAGACAATGGGGATGTCCCTTCCTTACAGCTCGTCCACACCGGCTGAAGATCCTTTGAAGTTGGATGAGTGTCGTCTTGCTGGCAAGTACCTTCTTGATTTACTGAAGATGGACTTGAAACCCCGAGACATTATTACGCCAAAATCATTGCGAAATGCTATGGTAATGGTTATGGCATTAGGTGGGTCTACCAATGCTGTTCTACATTTAATTGCTATTGCAAGGTGAGTAAAAATAGACATTCCTAATTTTCACTGATGGAGATATAGGCAACTCATTCTTACATACATCCTGAACAGGTCTGTTGGGTTGCAACTACATCTTGATGACTTCCAAAAGGTTAGCGATGAGGTTCCTTTCCTAGCAGATTTAAAACCTAGTGGAAAATATGTCATGGAGGATTTGCACAAGGTACTTGCACAGTTATAATATCACATTGGACTTGCATTGCTTCACTGCACTTGGCTTTGCTGAATTGACGAAACACCATTGTATAGATTGGAGGCACACCTGCTGTGATTCACTACCTATTGGAGCTTGGGCTGTTAGATGAGGATTGTATTACTGGTAATAATTGATTGACTTCTATAATCAGAGAAGATATAAATTTTCCCACCCTGGTTAATCCCCCGACTATTACGTCATGCCCACTTCTCATTTGTAGCTTCTGTTGTTTCCTTTTTGGTGTACAACTATCAGTTTCTTTACTTTTGGTCAAGGTTGTCATGGCGCATGGCGACAGCCATGGCGCACAAGCCTTTTCCCATGGCGATGGCGATGGCGCAAATATGGCGTCGCCACGTGACAAAAAAAAAACACAAAAACGAACTATAGACACTATACTTGATCAACACAACCACCAAAACAATATAAAAAGTTGAATAACAACACAAAAACAGTTTAAAGTACTTTAAAGTAGTTTAAAGTACTTCCAAAAAACCTAATATTCAAAAGAAGTTTCTTGTCATGCAAAATATGTTAGGATTTAGGCTTGTTAGCTTGTTATTGTTTGATGATTATGCCATAATCATCATCAATCATCCCACTCCTCATCCTCTTGGTCTGAATCTGATAGCAATGGCACATCATCCTCATTGAGTTCATCATCAAAGGGATCTTCAACCTCATCTGTCTCCTCCGCCTCCGCTGTCTCCTCCGCCTCCGCTGTCTCCTCCGCCTCCGCTGTCTCCTCCATCTCCTCTTCGTCGTGCAACTGAAGTGTTGATGCTCTTGTTGTTGTTGCTCTTGTAATGTGATTTGCTTCATTAACACCAACAACTTCTTCCACTACATCCCAATTTTCCATTTCATTTTGCTCGGCAGCTTCATCAATCCATTCATTGCAATCATCAATGTCTTCCAAACATATTTTCATTTTTCTGAAAGCTTGATCTTGAAGACGTTGATTCTGCCGAATGTATACCAAATCATTCATTTTTTTTGGCAGCAACCTTGTCCTTTTCTTGGTTTGAACCTAAAACAAGTACATAATAAATCAACTACAGATAGAGAGATAACTTAAATAGTTAAACAGTTAAATTAAATATGAAAGGCAGATTTATGAACTTACATTTTCAAAAGCACTCCAGTTTCGTTCACATCCAGAAGCACTGCAAGTTAAACTAAGGATCCGAACAGCAAGATGTTGCAAAGTGGGAGACGAGGAGCCATTTGCAAGCCACCAGTCAACTATATTTAAAATTCCAACCAAGTGCTAATTAATAATCTAGAAAACAATACTCAGATTTCAGGATTTAAAATTTCAGCTTTCCATTTCAATTTTGTAGTCAATTACAGCAAGTGCTAGCCATCATTTAACTATTCCAGTCCATAACAGTAAGTTGACTGCAAGTGTAGGTCAATTAGTCAATTACAGTAGTTTTATGACTACGAAAACTCAAATTTTAAATGGTATAGATTGTATAGAATGACAATAGATTTCATATAGAAATTTAGAATGACAATAGATTGCAGTTTAGGACTTTCCAGTTTCCAGAAAGTTGAAATAAAATAAGTTAGTTCTATAAACCTAAAAATGATGGCTAGCACTTGCTGTCCTACAGAGTTAGTTCTATACTTCTATAAACCTACAAAGTTAGTTCTAGCAGAAAGTTTATAAAAATAAGTTCGTAGGCAGTAGGTTAACTCATTACCAAATATAAGTGAATAAAATACTTACATAAGAAAGAGAAGACAAATTAAAGTGTGCATACCCGGTGGTTGTTTGTCCCTATTGTTCATTGCCATATTAGTTCGGAAACTTCCTCTAGCATTTGTATAGTTTGATATCTCAGTTGAGAACTCTACACTCTCTCCAATGCTAGTGGGCAACATCTTCTCCACACACTTTATAAAGCCATCACATACTTCTTCATCTCCGAGGATTCGCCGTGAATTAGGGTAGAAGAATTGAGGATTGAGATAATACCCCGCTGCATGTAATGGAGAATGCAGGTTCTCATTCCAACGTTTATCTATTATCTTCCAAAGAGGCATGTATTTCTCTTCTTTACCTCCCAATGTGTTTTTTATTCCCAATTTCGCTCTCTCCATAGCCTCATAAATAAAGCCCATTGGAGGCACCTCTCCATCAGTAATTCTCAATACCTTCACTACGGGCAAAGAAATCTTCATAACATAGGCAACACTTCTCCAAAAGCTTTGACGATAAATCGACTCAAAACAAGATTTACCTTCCGTAGTTTTTGCAAACTCACTTTCATACCATTTCGGTGAAGCAAACATTTGCCTCAATGCGTGTTTCTGCGTGAGAAGACTTTGAAGAGTCAGAAAGTTAGTGGCAAAGCGGGTGGCAGCAGGTCTAACTAGCTCTCTCCCCTTGGTAAATTCCTTCATCAAGTCGTGAACAAGGGTATGGCTATAGATGTAGGTAGTAATCCCTTGTGCCGTCTTCACAGTTCTTCTAACTATCGGCATCTTCTTTGAAAAGTCTTCTAGAACAAGGTCAAGACAGTGAGTTGCACATCCCGTTGTGAAGATATGTGGATATCTTTGTTCTATTTTCCTCTTTGCTAATCCATAATTTTTAGCATTGTCGGTCACAACTTGTATCACACTTTGAGGACCTATTTCTTTAATCCACTCATCAAAGAGCTTGAAAAGTGCTTCCCCGGTCTTCTTGTAAGATGAAGCATCTACGGCTTTCATGAACACTGTCCCCTTGCTAGAATTCACGCACAAGTTCACTAGAGTTCTGTGCCTTTTATCCTGCCACCCATCTGACATAATAGTGCAGCCATCTAATTCCCAGAATTTTTTGTGCTCACTGACCACCAGATCTGTTTTGGCTACCTCTTTTCGCAAGAACGTCTCCCTCACTTCATGATACGTTGGTGCTTTAAACCCGGCTCCAAACCTGCCAATCTTTTCTAGTGTTTCTTTCAGCAAAGGGTCATGAACCACATTAAAGGAGATGTTGTTCCTGTAAAACCACAAACAAAGGCTTTGAGCATATTCATCCCTCTCTTTTTTCTTCAAGTGTGATGGGATTGTTGATTGTGTCAATGCCTCCTTCTTACGTTTTTTTGTTGGATATACGAACTTATCCATAGGCCCAGACACACCACCTCCCTCTGCATTTGACTGAGAACCAGTTATCTCAACGTCATCATCTCCATTCACCCTATTGGCACTTGACCCACCAGACTGCTGTACTGTGTATGTACTTCGAAACGTTTGTTCACACACATTTTTTTCTGAGTTAGCAGCAGATTCTTTCAAGACTAGCGCCTGTAGTTCAGCCCTCTTATCAGCGGGAATGAGTTCACACTGTTTTGTGTTGCGGTGCTTCCCAGTCAAGTGTTGTTTAAACCTTGTAATTCCACCTTTAGTCACGTGCCCGCAGTACGTGCAGCGCAATTCATTGTTGTTTTTTTCTTTTACTTTCTCACAGAACTCCTTAGCAAAGGCAACAGACATCCTTTGTGGATCCTTTGTGGCTCTGCCTCTTCGGTTACCTCTGTAATAACAATTAACATAAAACAGATCAATGTCATAACTCATAAGTTAAAATCTATGTATAATTGTATATGTTAAACCGTTAAGTGTAAACTGTTATAATTTTGTTATGTCTTCTAGTATCAAGTACTCTAAACTGTAAAGTGTAAAGTTTTAACTAAATTAAGTAATTAACTTATTAAAGTGTATCAGTTTATCAGTTTAAAACTTTAAATACTTTAAGTTCTAAAGTAAAAACTTCATTTTACAATGCTATAACTAAATTGATAAACTATTTAAAACTTCATTTTACTAGCATGTAGCATGATATCATATTAGCATCTTAATACTAGCTATTTAAATTACTAGCATCAGTTTAATACTTTCAGTTTAAACTTCATTTTACTATGCTTATGCTATAAGTATTTGAATTGATAAATTATCTGATCATAGCATCTATCTATCTAACTAAATTTATTTCAAAGTTTAAAGTGATAAATTGATAAAGACATAAAGTATCATAGGCTCATAGCATATAAATATATTATGCATTTAACATTAAGGAGTAAAGGCTGAGCTGCTCTGTATTTAATACTCATAGCACATGAAGTATTAAATGAAGTTCACATTTTCAGGAATATATATAATATATAAAGTTTTGGATAAATTGTAACTGTATAAACTGAACTTTTCTTCATTTATACACAGCATTAAAGAGGTAGTCGTACCTTGTGTAGTTCGAAGAAGTCAATGAGAGTCATGTGTAGAGCAGCTTTTCTGTCGTTTGCCTTTCTGTAGTTTGTCGCATACCCTTTCTTGCGCAGAGCAGCTTTAACTTCCGGATATTGACTTTGTTGTGTTTATTGACTTTAGGGTTGTAGTTAGTAATATGGGCTAAAAATAGTAAGTTTTTGTTACAGTTTTATGGTTATAATGGGTCGCAGATAATTATGGGCCAAAAGGCCACAACTTACAGCTCAAAGACGCGGCCTTTTTTTAAAAAAAGGGAGTCGCATCGCCATGGCGAAGGCGCAGGTATGGCGAAGGCGCAACAATGGCGCCGCCATGTGTATTTGCCTCGCCACAGCTCTTTTCCGTAGCGCAGGGGTTAAAACTGCGCCTCATGGCGCATGGCGCGCGCGCCATTTGACGCCATCGACAACACTGCTTTTGGTCATTTCTGTCCACGTATCCTGTTACAATCAACCTGAAATTGACCTGATAAGTAGTCTGATAAGAACAGAAAAAATAAAATCAACGGTATGAACCGTTGCCCGATAATCAACGATAAATAAATACCGTTGCCCAAAGCCAAAAGGCTAAACCAACTTTTATTCCCCGATCCTCAAGAATGAAGCATACAAGGGGTATAAATAACCCTCTAGGTCTAATAAGAATAGGAATCCTAAATAAATTAATCTAGGAAACTAAATAGAATAGGAAACCTCTAGTTCTAATAGAACTCCTAATTAAATCATTCTAGGAAACTAAATAGAAATAGGAAACCTCTAATTCTAATAAGAATAGAAGTCCTAAATAAATCCTATTAGGAAACAAATTAAATTAGGAAACAAAATAAAAGGAATAATAAATATTAATTAAACAGCCCGCAACCAGCCCACGAAGGTGGGCTCAAGCCCGTCCCGCCTTCGGTAAACCCACGGGAGCTTTTGCCCCTCTTCTTCCAAGCCCAGATTCTGCTTCATATCAATTCCATCTCCCTTCGAAAAAACCTTGTCCTCAAGGTTGAAATCCGTAAACCGGCTGACATTTGTTCCCGGTGGCTGCCCAGTATCTTTAGGAAAAATTGAGATGTACTCCTCCACAGTCCCTATCTGCTTGCCTCTGGACAGTCGTTCAAAGCAATTGCCCTGAAACTGTGAGTCAAAACGAGCCACCAATGCCTGTGTAAGCTCATCCCATGACATGCCCGGCTTTCGTGTCCGCATCGAGGTCAACCGGTATAGGGCTGACCCTTCCATCACATCTACAGTGGCTGCCGCCTTCTTTCCCGGCAGAGCACAATTCAATTTGAACCGTTTCTCAGCCTTATCAACCCAGTTGATTGGTTCTACTTCGTTAAACGAGGGCAACGTCGTAAGAAAGGAGTTGCGTAGTCCAATTTCGAACGAGGATGCTGCTGCCGCATCGAGTGAAGTCACCACCATTGACTGCTCCGCCGCTGGCGGTGCGAGAGTCTCTTTTAGTGCAGCCAATGAAGAAGTGACGTTGTGCAGCTGTCCGTCGCCGCTGTGCGTAGATACGTTGGGGCTGCCAACCGTGTCCGAGCTTGTTTCCGTCGTGACTGATGGAACGAGCGCCTTGGTAAGCGCTGCCAGGGATGCGGCGATCTCTGTCAGGTGCATGTTGTGCTCCTTTAGGGTTTGAGTGTGCTTGGCCAGCATCTCTGACAAACGTTCACCGATAGATCTCGTCATTCTGGCGGGACGGGATCCGGCAGGTCGGACCAATTGATAAGAACAGAAAAAATAAAATCAACGGTATGAACCGTTGCCCGATAATCAACGATAAATAAATACCGTTGCCCAAAGCCAAAAGGCTAAACCAACTTTTATTCCCCGATCCTCAAGAATGAAGCATACAAGGGGTATAAATAACCCTCTAGGTCTAATAAGAATAGGAATCCTAAATAAATTAATCTAGGAAACTAAATAGAATAGGAAACCTCTAGTTCTAATAGAACTCCTAATTAAATCATTCTAGGAAACTAAATACAAATAGGAAACCTCTAATTCTAATAAGAATAGAAGTCCTAAATAAATCCTATTAGGAAACAAATTAAATTAGGAAACAAAATAAAAGGAATAATAAATATTAATTAAACAGCCCGCAACCAGCCCACGAAGGTGGGCTCAAGCCCGTCCCGCCTTCGGTAAACCCACGGGGGCTTTTGCCCCTCTTCTTCCAAGCCCAGATTCTGCTTCATATCATAGTCGGAAGGATAAAAAATGGAAAGATGTCCAGTCTTGCACTAAAAGTGGAAACAAAGGACAGTTGGGCACCAAAAGTGGGAATAAGTTAACAATAGTCATGTAACCAGGATTGAACATTTTTTAACTCTATTTTTCAATAATTTGTTTTGTACTGTGAAAGGTGCTAGGTCTAATCAGTTTAATTTGCAGTTACGGGAAAGATGCTTGGTGAAAATGCAAAGTTATTCCCTTCTTTGGCAGAGGGTCAGGTAGGCATCTCTTCATCCATTCAATCTTAATGTATTTTGTGCCTCAACGATGTTTTATGTTCCGTATTTGATATAAAATCTATGTTTTTTTGGCTTTTTTCCCAGAAAATAATAAGACCTTTGTCTAATCCCATCAAAGAAACTGGTCACATTCAAATATTATATGGAAACCTTGCACCGGAGGGTTCTGTAGCAAAAATAACTGGAAAGGAAGGACTGTTTTTCTCAGGTGTGTATATTTAGTGGTCTTTTCATTTATGCATTTTTAGAACCTTACATTTTGTCATTTTCATCAACTTGAAGGTTTTGTGCTGTAGCTAATTGTGAATTTTCTCTAGGCCCCACTCTTGTCTTTGAAGGAGAAGAATCCATGATTGCAGCAATCTCAGAAGACCCTATGAGTTTTAAGGTAGAGATTACTGTATTTTCTGCTTACTTGTGTGTGGACTATCTAGTTTATTCCCACTCAAAAAAAGTTTGAAAACTCTTCTTACTAAGAGATTCACTAAGAGTTTATTAGCATTCTTGTTACTAAGAGCTAGTCAGCTTATTCATTTCCTTTATACGGAGCTACTTTTCTGTTATAATAATCCCATCATAATTCTTCACCGCTTCACTGAATTGGTTTTTTTAAGATTGTTTTTTTTCTTTCTAAATGATTTGGTTGAAGCAGTTCAATTCATTTCGTTGCACTATTTTGTTTGAGTGACAGCCATTAGAAAAGATTAAAAGTTCTTTTTGCTTGGGCATCATTGGAAATTTCCCACCGTGAATAAAACTTGAACATTCTCCACCATTTTTTCTTTTCCTTGCTGAAATTAATATGCTGGTCTATTTTTTTGTGTAATGGAGACCTGGTTTATGTTTCACTTATTCATACTGCAGGGGAAGGTAGTAGTCATTAGAGGGGAGGGCCCTAAGGGAGGACCAGGAATGCCTGAAATGCTAACACCAACCAGTGCAATAATGGGAGCAGGTCTTGGAAAGGTATGATCTACATGTAGGACTGAGCACATTCTGGTCCAGACTAGAAACCTCTTTGGACCGATTAAGGGTTCTGGTTCCTGTCTGGTCCAAAACAATTCTGGTCTTGGTCTGTTCTTGGACTGGTACTCGGCCCTGTATATGGCTCTTCACTTTTTTATATTCAATTATTGTTATTTCATGAGTACCTGGTTGTCATTATGATGATGAATATGTACATTTATACATGGAATGCATTTGAAGGGGTTTCTTTCCGTGCGTGTGAACTGGGAGAGTTAAGTGAGACATGCTTCTATTGTTCTGTGCATAATAGAACAAACACCATACTAACTACTAAGTGCTTGTTTGCACGTGGTTCTAGAGAATGCTAAAAATGCTTTTAGAGGTGTTAACTGTTAAGAGGGGTTAGTTATGGAAGTGTTACCAAGTGTAGGCACAATTAAAGAAGGGAAGGTATGTATAAGTGGTAAGTATAAATTTACCTTGTTTAGGAGAGTTTTAGAAAGGAGGGTTAGTAAATGAAGTGTTTTTCATATAAACTGACAAAAATGTCCTATTTTTAATTCATGTCTATGCTATATAAAGCTAATCATGCGTTAAATATATAATTGTTGTGACATGAGGCGACATTAGTATTCTTCTTCCTTGGGGAAAAGCTGCCGGGTCCAACCTCAAGAGTCATTATCTTCACCTGCTTAGATAGTTTTCTCGCTTCATATAGGTAGCCTCTTCCCCCGCTACAAACATGGTTAAGCAAGATTCTATCAATTAAAATGATTAATATTCCAATGTTCACATTTATCATTTTAACAGTTTTTTCCTGATACTGAAATTACAGAAGTTGAAATTACTTGTATGCTAATAAATCTATGTTCATCTGTGAAATTTTCCCAATAATACATAACTAAGTGAGAACAGAAAAACTAAATTGAGAAGGGTAGGGGAATATCAAATATTGAACAGAAAAATAGGAGGATGGAATATGAAACATAGTACTCCAGTAATTCGTACAATGGAGTAATGGATCAGAGTACGGGGCCGATGAGAAGACCTGGAGTCGAAAATGGTAGATGAGTAGAGAAGGCCAGCTGCTGTGGTCGGCAGATGAGAAGAGCAGTAGAAAGAAATAGGGTAGTATATGTCCAACACCTCTCCGTACACTCTAAATCGGAGTGTTCAAAATGTCAACAATTGAGGTGTTGACAAGGTAATTCTTAACATTTTTTAACACTTATTAACACCTTATTTGTTTTAGATTTCTCTTAAACAAGTGTTAACGCCAACACTCCAAACACTTCATCTAAACACAATGTTAGTACAACTGCAAATATCAAAATTACTCCATGAAACCACTTTTAAGAAAAACACATCCAAACAAGCTCTGAGTTTGTTACACTTATGTTTCTCGTTTTTCCTCTTCATTACTTGTAGGATGTTGCATTGCTTACTGATGGACGGTTTTCTGGAGGCTCCCATGGATATGTTGTTGGGCACATATGTCCCGAGGCACAGGTGTGCTATTCCAAATATTTCATTCTTATAGTTCACTCTTTTTCTCCAAGTATTCCCTTTTATTAGAATGTGAAATGCAAACATTTGCAGGAAGGAGGTCCAATTGGGCTGGTTCAAAACGGAGACATAATTACGATAGACATTAAGAAAAGAAGAATGGATGTTCATCTAACGGAAGAGGAATTGGAAGAGCGGCGAAAGAAATGGAGCCCACCTGCCTACAAGGCAGAAAAAGGGGTTCTTTACAAGGTATGCACGTAATTTGAATTTTATGTCTACCCACAGTTTTTTACATAGTACTACCTTTGTCCCTCTAAGATTGAAACGAGAGGGTGTGGTGCAGTTTTTAAGAAATTTTGAATTGATAAAGTCTGAATAAAGTAAGAATGAATTGTAACAACCCAAATATGACTGAATATGATGAGACAAACTAAATGAGACGAATTAAAAAGGTAAAACAGGATAAAGTTAGGGCTTTAGGGGACAAAGGGAGTAATATGTTTTGGTTGTGCTTTAATAACTGCTTCAATTGCTTGTTGATTTTTCAGTACATAAGAAATGTACAATCTGCATCAAGAGGATGTGTGACAGACGAGTGAAAGAGCCACTCTTTCATTTATATTACAGAATTTTACATTTGTGCGGCTCATTTAGATGTTTATGATTCATTTGAGGTTCCAATTATGTATACTTATGGATACTATTATATATACCTCACGTAATTTTTTCCAATGAATCACATATAATGAATTATGTTATGATATATAGTTATTTTTCCACATGGAAAATCAAACATGCATGTTCTGATCTTCATATGTGCGGCTCATTATGCATGCTTCACATTATCACATAAATTTTTCCAATCAATGTGACTTGTGGTAGAAATTCAACCATATGTGGATGTAAGATAATTTATTTAGGGGGTGTTTGGATCTGATTCTTAAAACCGTTTCTGTTCCTTCAGAGAGTAGAATCAGAAGTTGGAGTGTTTAGGTGAAAGTGCAGAAGTACTTCTGTTGTTCTAATTTACTCCTAGAATCAATTTTTTAGAAGCTGGGGGAGACCAGTTTCTGAAAACTGATTCTCATTCTGTTTTTTCTTTAAACAAGAAGCAGAAGTTGAATCAATTCCCAACACCCCCTCAATAGGGATGGACTGGGCCGGGCCGAACCGGCCCGGAACCGGACCGGCCCGCTACTGTGCGGGCCCGGACCGGACCGGGCCCGGTTGGCCGGTTCCGGGCTTTTAGCCCGTGTTGGCGGGTCGGGCGGTCCGGTTCCGGGCCCTATTTTTGTTGAACCGGCCCGGGCGGTTCGGGCCGGGCCCGGTTCATTTTTATTTTATTTTTTGGTTTTTTCAATTGTTTTTCTTTTCCTAGGGTAGGGCTGGGTGTTTTAGGGAGGTTTGGGGCGTGGGGGTGAGGGGGGGGGGGGGTAGGGAGATAAGAAAGTAAAAAAAAAAAAACATTGAACCGGGCCCGGCCCGGCCCGGTTAGGCCCGGACCCGGTATCAACCCGGGCCGGTTCTGGGCCCTTGTTACCCGAAAAAAAGCCCGCCCGGGCCCGGCCCGGAACCGGACCGGCCCGGGTCCATTCCTACCCCTCAATCTTATTCTATGACTCAAAAAATATCTAAAAGACTTCAAGTTTCAAGAACATATTCAATCCTAATGAATGCATCATCTTTGATCAAAATATGTCATCTTTATATGTTCAATCAGTGTGACTTGTGATAAAAGTTTGAACATATTTTAGTATAGGGATTATCCATTTCAACTCGATTTGATATAAATGTAAAGATAAATCAAAGAGCTATTACAACGTAACTTTGAGTTTTGACAAATAAAGCTTATAGCAATCCCTATAAATCAATGCCCCATTCAATAACATTTGAGTTTTATTTTATTTTAAGATGTAATAAAATTGACGTGTTCCTAAATTGTTTGTTAAAAACTCTTTATTAAAGTGATCCGTTGTTTTGAATTTTAAATGGTAGTGTTTTCTTCTTGCTCAACACAACAATGTTTGTCTTTCAAAAACTCTGATGAAATTTAAGTATAAGCACTTACAGAAGAACTAATACTTTTTATCCTACTACTTTGCTCACTTACTTTCAACAAAATTTACCATTTTCTTAAAAAAAAAGCTACGTAGTAATAATTTTCATCTGGGTTAGAAGCGGTCATGATAATCTATATACTTAGTACTGAACTACTAATGCTATATCTTGCAGGACCGGAAGCAGGGACACCTATCCCAACACCCTCTAGATCCTCCATTGATTTCAAATAAATGATTATCCAAAAATACTCAATGGTGTTTCTTTCTTTGGTACATTATGAGCAATTTAAAACACTAAAAAAGATCAAAAGAATCACCTTTATACGCTAATTTTATATTCTAATTCTGAAGATGAAGCCGTAGAAGATGAATTCCAAAGATATTCTAATCCTATTAATATCATCAAAAAGATTTCTTTATGGAGATATTACTACAAGAGTAAAATATAATTTTTAACTAGTTTTATTTTTGTAAAGATAACTATGTAACTATGTAAGATATATTGGTCAATAAGAAAATAATAAGAAAATTGCTAAAGAAAATTAAAAAAACAACTCAAATTTTTAAATGGTGGTACTATGGGCCTGACCCATTATCCAGATACGAAAATGAATACGTAGTTTTGGCCCAATCCAAACAAAGGATTAATGAGGAAGGCATAAAAGTTAGCGCAGGGAGATCCAAATCCATTACGAGGTTGACCAAGCTTGGGCCGACCTAGACAGTAGGCGCCAGGCCTAGTGGTAATTTCGTGGAGACCGGACTCTCCCTAGGGCAGTAGGGCTTAAGAATGAGTCACAATGGTGCGAACAAGAGGATCCAGATCTATCATGAGGTCAACCACGCTTGAGCCAGACCCAGTGGAAATCCCTTGAAAGTTAGACTCTTCCTAGGGCTTACGTGGCAAAAGTTTCATAAAGGATGAACATGATTAGTAACATCATAAATCACCTGAAGGGTCATGGGCACAAAGGATACATTAACCATGGGAGTTATGACAGAAACATTACAAGAGTCCAAACATAATTAGAGTCATTAATTACAATAGTTAAGTTTCATATTAATTGTACACGACTATATATACTTATAAATACTCATGTACATATCTTGTAAAAGAGCAGGCTAGCTAATAATATTGTTATTACTCTCTTTCCTACGTACACTGAACATTTCATAGATTAAGACATTAAGTTGTTGTTATTTGAATTATTTTCCATCTAAATATGGTGTTAAAGTTTTTAAAACAAATTCGTAACCATACTCGACAGGTTTTAAGCATATTACAATTCGTTATAGTGGTGATATGTGATGATGCTTACTGATACTAATAGCAAGTTCTAATTGTATGGTTTTTTGTTTTTTTATTTGCTTGGAAGTGCTTCATATATTGTGTAAACAAAATTAAAGATGACACTTACTTTTCAGAAGAAGAAAAATCACGGGCTCATTTAGATTAAAAATCTATTATATTGATATATATATTTCGCCTTTAATTTATCAGAATCAAATTGAAGTTAGATCCAGCAAAACCTTAATTAATCATTTCAAAACACTACCAACACCAAGCCTAAGTAAATTAAATAAAGCTAAGTTAATCGCATTTTTTTATAATTCTATAAGTTGTTTCCCGTTTTAGTTTAGAGTTCCTTCGATAACTCCTTTTTATTTATTTATCTATTCATATCAAATTTTAAATTTTTGAGCGAGGTTGGTAATGTTAGATTATTGGACTTATACTACATATAATATTCACAATATGTTATTTATTGAGTTAATTGTATGTTATATGCTGTCTTATATTTAGCCCAAAAATTAGTGGTCCTATGGATATTAATTTAAGTGTGCTATTAAGTTATCTAATAAGGTATAAGGTCCAATCGTCTAGAAACTCATGAGCTTAACCTAATTAATGATGAGCTGATTAGGGTTAGGCATTTTCTATAAATAGAGGGGTTATGGTCCTTAGTTGAATATGTCATTCCATCTTTCTGCATCTCATCGCTAGAGAGATAATTCCCGAGGGTGTGTATCAACTAGAAGATGCAAACCCTAGCCTCCGTCTCCCGGATCTCTAAAGATCAACTCCAATTGAGTCAGGTACGCTTCCGCTCAGTTAATTCTCTAGATAATTCCAATATGAAGATTAAAGTATCCATGGATTTATTCCAACAGGTAATTCCTATCCCAAAATCTTTTACACCGTACTAAACTCTCAAAATCTTATGGGAATAAGGCTTGAATGTTGTTGTTGTTGGTAATTCAAATATTCGGCTTATCAACCTTATCAATTGACTTTTTTTTTTAATTAAAAACATAACTTTTGATTTCGTGCTTAAATTTTATACTACCTCCCGTTATGATTGTCCCATTTTACCATTTTGGCCCGTCCTACAAAGATTGTCGCATATCTTATTTGGTAAAGTTTGTGTGGCTCTAAATCATTCTTACAATCTTACTTTATTCTTACTTTATCAATTCAATATCAACCACATAAATCACTTTTTATAGATTTGCGTGTCACTCCCTCTTGTCCCATTGTTAGTGGGACAGAGTGAGTAATAATCAAAATCACTAAGGTTGAAGTTACTTCCTTGACTAAAATTGTTGGAATTGCTGAAAAAGAATATTTCAGCTATATTTTCATTTAAAGTTTCTTTTTCTTTAATACATACAATGTATTTTTTCGCAATTCAGCAGATTCAGTCTCTTCAATTATGTCAGCTAGAATTAAACCAAAAGGGACTTTTTGATTTTATATGCTGAATAATGGAATAATTTATACAAAGTAAAGATGAAGTTATTTTCTAGTGTCATTGACCAAAGAGAATCTTCTTAGTTTTTTTGTTGTGTATAATTGTTATTTATTTCTTTAATCATCTATAATTGAGTTTTTTTCTTAAATATTATTAATAAAAATGTCATGGATAAAAATGTGACTTAGTAACTATTAGTGACTATAATTGTGTTCAAAGTTTGGATTACAGTAATTTACATTTAGTTACTACGATGTAAATTTGAACACAATTATAGTCACTAATAGTTACATCCTCCGTCCCACTAAGATTGTCCCAGTTCCTATTCACCTGTCAACACAAATCACTCTTAGGGTATGTTTGGTTCAGGGAATGTCAGATTGCCATGAGAATGTCAGATTGCTTAAGATTAAGGGAATGTGATATTAATTTACTTGGTTGATAGATATCTTATATTGCAGATATGGTAAATTACTTCAATGTCCTTTAAATATTTTATCTTAACACAATAAATCTATTACAACCTACATCTAAAGTAATTAAAATTAAAGAAAAAATGATATATCTTAATAATAAATAAAATCAGACCTAATTGAATTGTTTTTAAGTAAACTATGTTTAATTGTAAGAAGGTTTAGATCCAATTCAAAAGTGAAAAAAACTTTGTTCAATCTAAATATATTTATTAGTATTTCAAAAAAATTAAATTAAAATATGTTCAAGTTATTCATAAAACTCCTTTTCAAATTAGAGAAAAATGATCAATTTTGCCATTAAATTTTGAAATCCACTCATCAAAAACTTAAATAATCTATAAGTCTTATAAAATAAATACCTTAAAAAATTTAAATGTTTAAATATCAATAACAGACATTCGAATAGAATTAAATATACATACTCCATCTGTCCTACTTAAATGGGTGTTACACAATCTACGATCGACTGGCCATAAAATTAACCGATCTCTTTCAATAATAAGATTATTTTTTAGTAAATATAATTTACATATTTAGAAACTAAATTAAAAT